CATGTCTCTCATGAAAAAAGATGGCAAAAAAAAAATTATGCTTTTCTTTTTACATTTTTTAAAATAATTTGTTTAAATCGATTTTCATTTTTCATTTTTTTTAAATCCTAAACGAGGTCGGATTCCAAAATTAAAAATATAGGATTGTAGTGTTTTGCAAGCCCTACAACCCCATTTTTTATTTTTTTTTGTTTTACGTATTTTTAGGGGTATAAAAAAAATATTAAAAAAAGGCCGCGAACAGGGCCTCATTGGCCGCGGCGACCGAAATGCCCGCGGCCTAGGCCGCGGGTGTCACGTAGAACCCAACAAATCCGACTCCTTCTCCGGGATTCTTCTCCCTCCATGTCATCAATCAAATAATAATAACAAGTCTGATAAGTCATGGTATCACAGAAGTGCCACGTGGCACCACTCTCTCATGAAGACTGTGAAGACAACCAGTGTCACGCAATATCGACGTCAGCCTGAGGTAAGTATTTCGTTCCAGTCCTCCACAGATCTCGATCTTCCTCCTTCCTCGCAACCAGTCACCTCATGTAGACAGCGTGGACAATGCCACGTCAGCAGTCAAGACAAGTGGCATGCGCCACATCGATGTAGACCAGAGGCAGCGCCACATCATCATGCAATGTAGACCAGAGGCAGCGCCACATCATCATGCAATGTAGACCAGAGGCAGCGCCACATCATCATGTAATGTAGACCAGAGGCAGCACCACATCATCATGCAATGTAACCAGAGGCAGCGCCACATCATCATGCAATGTAGACCAGAGACAGCGCCACATCAGCGTGCAATGTAGACCAGAGGCAGCGCCACATCAGTATGCAATGTAGACCAGACTCAGCGCTGCATCAGCGTGCAATGTAGACCAGAGGTAGCGCCACTTCAGCATGCCTGGCGCACAGAACAATAAGCGCCAGCATGCTGCCTCCATCTCGTGCCGTTGCCTGCAACGCCTATGCACAGCCAGCGTCACTCCACCATAAATGCGGGCGTCTAGTCAAAGTCGAGCCAGCGTCAAAGCAGCATAGCAAGACTGAATGTTGACCACCTCGAGGTCAGCCTTTAAGTAGCATTTGACGAGGCTGTCTGGCCTCGAGCCTTGTTCCCTCAGTCGTCCAGATTGCCTTACAGCCGAGGGACCCCGATTGTGTACAGTTGCAGACTTCCCCTTGGGCCTGATGTTGTCTGGGTACCTGCATACAAACAAGTGTGTGTGCTTGACCGGCGGCCTGGGCTGGCCCGGCTGGGTACCTTTGTACTTTGACTGTTATTGTCACGGCAGTTGACCAAAGTCAACTGTCACACGTCCAGGCCCTGAATTCTTGTGTGGGTCTTCCCCCCACCCCCCGTTTTGGCCTAGGCTGAGGGCGGCCAAGTAGGCCCTCAGATTTCCACGAGACATATGGCATGGGTTATTGCAATAATGAAAAAAAAAAAAAAAAAAAGAAGACGGTAATCATTATGGTGCTAAACTCGTGATTATAATTTAGAGAACAATACGATACTGGTGTTGAAAATGGCCTGGGGCCCTGGGGGTAAGAACCAGGGCATCTCGGTTCGGTTCGGACCACGGGATGTCAGCTGGGGATGGAGGGTGGGAGAGTGCCATTGTTACTTAGAACTTATAGTTCGGACCGGTAGTATAGACCGGTTCAGGTAGTATAGACCGGTTCAGGCCGTGTAGGCCTGTGTAGTAGGTAGTAGGTGGTAACAGTGGATGATAGGATGAGGAGAAAAAAAGATTGGAGCTTTGGATAATAGCAGGTCTCGAAGTCGAGGAAACACTAGGTGGTGGTCTTAGGACAGAATTGCTCAACAGGTATGTTGGAGATGACGGGGTATGCCGTAGCAGGCCTACCTGCAGGCTGCTGCATGTAAGTGAAATGGCTAAATTTGCCAGAGAGAGTTCCGGGTTGAATTGTGGTGTCCCCGGCCCTGAATGCTGTTGTGCAATGGAACGGATGAGCTTTAAAAAAAAAAAAAAAAAAAAAAAAAAAAAGGCCTGGGCACTGGGGCCATTGAAATAATGAGTTTTTTTTTTAAATAGAGGTAAGGAAAGAGAAAATGGCCAGGGACGTAGTACCCATGGGGCAAGACACTATGGCCAGGGGGAGAGTACCAAAGGGCTGGACCATATGTTCGCAGCCAGAGGCTGCGCTTACCTCAGTTGTAAGGGTCGGTTTCTTTTTCGGAAAATGTCGTGGAATGTAATAGAGGTTTGGCGGGGTGTTTTTCGGCTTTACGGAAAGGTGGGAAGGGTGCGGTCGCGGCTAGGAGACGAACCGGTAGTGTGAGTGGTCGTCGCCAGCTTTGGGGAGTGTATGTCCAGGGGTTGTTTCATAAAGTCGGTCGGGCTTGCGGTGGGCGGCGACCAGGTTTCCTTTTCGTTTGGAGGGTTGAGTCTTTTTTGGGGGGCTGTCGGGGGTTCTTTCTGGATCTTTTCTGGATTCTGGATGATGGATGATCGTCGTGGTGCTTCTCCTTTTTTTTCGTGGGGTGTTTTTTTTTTTTTTTTTAAAGCAGCGACAATCTTGTCTTTCTTCACATATTTGTTAGGGCAGCCAGAGGCTGTATTTATTTATTTATTTATTTATTTATATCATTGTCTACGATTCTACGCTGGGTCGGCCATCGTCGATGGTCTAAGATTTAATTGCTCAGTTTGCGTTCCTTGGATTGATTTAGTATTTTTTTCTTTTTTTTCTTAGTTCGTTTGGTTCTTTTTGTTTGGAGGTCTTTTGGAGTGGATTGTCCATTTGGAGTGGATTGTGCACTGGATTTGAACTTGGGTCTGTAACCTAAGAGCCTACCTCCGTGGGTACACCAATGAAAATGAACTGCGGGGGGTTCTGGGAAGAAGTCCTAGGGGGACACGGAGCATCTGGACTGGGTGATTTGGGGCGAGGGCAGCGGTTCAAATTCTTTTTTTCCCTTTTTTTCAGTCTTTTTTTTTTTTTTTTTTTTTTTTTTTTTTTTTTTTTTTTTTTTTAGGAGTTTTTTTTTTTTTTTTTTTTTTTTAGTACTATTTTTTTTTTTTTTTTTTTTTTTATGACAAAGAAGACACCAAAGCTGTGAAACATAATATACCTAGGATCCTAATTAAAAAAAAAAAAAAAAAAAAGGATGCTAATAATTTCTTCGATTCATTTCTACTCATAAATTTCCCAACTTCCGTTATAAATTTCCCATGCCTAATGTGATGTACATTTTTTTGTTTACATGTATTAGCCCTTGCATATGTATCAGGATTCAGGATGAATAACTACCATTTTGAATTCATTTTTAATCATTTCTTCATTTCCATAATTTTTTATTTTTTTTTCAAATATTTGCACAACTTTCAAATTCTTTGACATGCTCTTCAAACCACAAAAAACTCTTCAAAATGCAATATAAAGCCGGACCTCCACAATGTGTAATGTGTGATAAATAAATAACGCCCACTGCATCTCTCCTGCTATAAAACAACACTGTGACATTAGAACACTCAGAACTTCGTCCCCGCAATAACCCCTCTGAGTCTCTGACCTGGCTGGGAACCCAGTTGAACGGGCAAGATACATCGCTCCCCGACCCCCTTTAAGCCCCCCCTTTCCCCACTTTCAGGCCCACTTTGCCCCACGCCCTTCCAAAAAACACAGATGCACCTCAACACATGCAGAGAAACACACAACACCACAAACATACGTATGGTCGGTCACACCGTCACACCGATTTTTGTCGTGTGACTTTTTGTTTTTCTGAAATTTGAAAACGAAAACGTTCGCGCCCAGAAGGTCGTGTCTTTACTCAGTTTACTGTCTGTTGAGTGAACACACTTGCAAACACCTCCACACTCCACAGATACACGCACCAACACCTCTCACAACAAACACCAGACTCGGTCTCTCCTCAGTCTCCTGTGTGTGCGTGCGTGCGTGTGTGTGTGTGTGTGTGTGTGTGTGTGTGTGTGTGTGTGTGTGTGTGTGTGTGTGAGAGAGAGA